AGCAGTCCGGCCAGCCCATGAGCCTCCCCATGAGCCTTGGGTTGAACCGAGGTACCCCCAAGGCAAAATTCCCTCACTAGGCCCTCTTGGATGTACCTGGACCTCATTTTGGCCAAGTACATGCAGTCCGAATGGTTGGTACCAACTCGGACAGCCTCTTGGCCTACTCCGGCCTCTTTTTCATTGCTCAAATGCTGCCCCCAAGCGTCCAAATGCCCAAGGGGCAGCAATACTTGAAAGAAAAAGGCCTTGTAGACCTTTTCTCGATTTTTTGAAGTTTCGGCCTCTTTTGAGTAGGCCGGAGCATTTTTCCATGTGGCGGCACATTTTCAGCCTTGGATCTGGCTGAGATCCAAGGCCAGCAATAATCCGAGGTACCCCCTAGTAGCCCTTGCTTCAATTTTGAGCCCCTAAGTCCAGTTTTTCAATTTTTGGTGCATCTGGCTCTCTTTTTGGGCCAAATGCACTATTTTGTTATTTTCTCTCTTTTGTTTCTTTCCATTTTGGGCTGCCACCTCATTCCGGAGCTAGCCGTTTTAAGCTGGCCCACAAAAATGACTAGTTCCTCTTCACCATGAGATCTGATCTCAGATCCATGGTCCAAAAGAAAACCGGCCACTTACTTTTTGCATTTTCTCTCATTTTCAACTTTTTAATTCAGATTTTATTGAGATATGGCCCAAAGGGCCATATCTCTGCAATCCGGTTTGCCCTCCCTCATTCTAGGAGGGATGAGGTCACTGCTGGGACCTGCCAGTCCCTACTGTGCAGGTCCCAATACGCCGGCACACTCTCCTCCACTATTTTCTCCCTTTTTGTCTCATTCTCCCTCCTTTTTCTCTCATTTTTCTTTCTTTTTCTTTTATTTCTGTTGTGACAAGTGTCAAACTGTTGTGCACCCTCTTTCTAGGCCCTAGGGCTCCATTCAAGGCCAGGTTCATGGCTGTTATATGACCGTTACATCTCGGATTCCAATAATGGCACCCCCATGTTCCTAGGGGGCTCCATTTTGTTCCTGTTTGCCCAATTTTGAGCCCCTTCTGCTTCGATTTTCTAAGGGCAGTCTTTTTCTCATGTCGAGCCTCTCAAGGCTCTATTTTCTTATGCCTTGCTAGTCCGAGATCTGCATTCTCCATTCCTTCAGGAGTGATGCAAACCCGACTCAGCCCATCTGCCTTGCTGCGGATTCCAGCAATCCGTTCGATCTTGTAATCGAACTGCCAGATGAATCCTACCCATCTCTCTACCATCGGATCTATAGGTCTGTAATTCTTTAGAGCCCCTGCGACATTCGTCGGATCGATCCTTAAGATGAACCGCCTCCCAAATAGATAGGCCTGGAAGGTCTTAAGGCAATGCAGGATGTCTAGGACTTCCTTCTTGAATTGCGAGTACCGCTGTTCTGCGGAGTTCAGGCTTCTACTTTCGAACCTAATCGGCTTCTCTTGTCCTCCCTCATCCCTTTGAATCAACACACCTCCTACGGCCAAAGGTCCTTCATCCGTCTCTAGGATGAAGGGTCGTCCCACTTCGTCATTAAAACAAGGCGCGGACAGGGCGACTGTCTCAGATATCAATATGTCCTTGAGCCTTTGGACAACTCCTTCTCGCTCCTCTGTCCAATTCATGGTTCCTTCTTCCCTGATTATAGCCCGGATAGGCTCAACAATCTTGGCAAAGTTCTTAATGAAGATCCTCCAAAAGCCGACTACGCCTAGGAATGCCCTTACCTCCATCGTCGTGCGCAGTGGTGTCGGCCACTGTGATATCTTGTCGGTCATTGCCGGATCTGGCTTCCCGCCGTAAGCACCGCAACAAAATCCTAGTATAGTTACCTCCGATGCTGCCACGATACTCTTTGGTCAACTAGTCGTTATGTTGTATACTAGGAACCGACGGAGTAAGTCCTCGATGTCCTGCAGGTGGTCCCACACAAAACGTCGGATCCCTGGCTGGACTTCCGTCTCGTCTTTTTCTTGCGCGCCTTTGATCGGATTGTCATCGATATAAGGTTCACATTTTTCTGGGAACATGTCCCCGTCCACGGCGAGCATCCTGCGCTGCACTTCGACCACCGCGTTCGTGAATCCCATAGGTGTCACTTGCATCTGTAGCTGGCCTACGGGGGTGTGCATAGCGGTGTATGGCCTGTCCCGAACATCCAATGGAAGTTGGTCGTACCCCGAGTACAGATCTATTAGGGAGTAAATGCTCCGACCGGCGTGCGATTCTGCTAATAAGTCAGCCTGAGGTAGCGAGCCAGCATCCCGGATGGTTACCGCATTCAACTTTTGCAGGTCCTAAATCCACCTTAGTGTCTTGTTAGGCTTCCGAAAGACGAACCACCGATTTGCGTATGGCGATGCCGTAGGCTCCGCAACGAAGGAGTCCATCTTCGCTCGGAGGAGGTCTGTTACTTCTCCTGCTATCCCAAATTCATAGGATGACCCCTTGTCATTCCAACACTCATGTTTTACCGTGTGGATTCAAACCGGAGGGATCAACTTCGCATCCAGTCGTCCCTTCTAGTGATCACTAAGGGCAAATGCCAGGTGAAACTCCTGGCAGGATCGAAACCGGTTTTGCTTTCTTCCCTACCGGCTTGTACTTTCAAACACTTCCTTCCGGGATCTTTCTCCTAAAAAATGAACAGTCGGAATTGCCCCCGTCGCCTCTACGACTCGTGGTTGAATACTAACTAGTTTCCCATTCAGGCAATATCCCTTTTGCACCTCTCTTTCGAACTTGGTCAAGGCTACCGAATCCACTCCTACCTTGTGGTATCTGAGGGCCTTGATGAGTTGCAATAGATCGGGGATCTCGAGTGCAATTTGTGGCACGTCTATGCGTACTTCTTTCCGTTTGGGCAGGCTAGCACCAAGTTCGACCTCTGACTCCTTTTTCGCTACCATAACACCTGGGACTTCGTCCTCCTGCCTCCTCTTCTTTTTGGGCAGACCCATCTTGATCCACTTCTTCTTGTTGAATGCTTCCTCAATCATGATTTCTACCCTTTCTCTCATACCCTCCATCCGTGCGAAAGCCCCTTTTCGCGTGCTATCCTCGAACGACGGCGACCATGTTGCCAATTTCGCCCTCGGGGGGTCTCCTCTCGTTCCAAGGAGTCGGAGAAGCTCTCCCCGACCGGTCACAGGGTCCTCTATGTCTACCATGTATGAGCCATCGTGCAAGTGCATGCCTACCGTACATCCTGTGATCATTGTGAAATCTCTTCTTATGAGAGTGATTTCCGCTTCCCCGTCTACTAATGTGTCGGTATGATGACTCCCGATCTGGATTTTCAGTTTCCCTACAGGCAGCGCATGAAAGCTATGCTTCGTCCCGAGTGGCGATCTCATGACTTCACCGCCCTCTCGGTCGGGCAAGCTCAAACGAATGTCTGCAAAGGCCTTTTCGAGATTCTCAAAGTCCCCGTGACTCCTCTGAAGGTTAGCCACTTCTTGCGGAGCTTCCTCCTCCCTCTCCCCTTCTGGTAACTCGGGGTTGTCGCCTATTTCTACTCGCCTCCGAGTCAAGAGTTGTCTGAGCCCTTTGAGCAACCTAGGGCTAGCTTGCAGCATGGTCTGAAAAGACACCGACATCATGGTTCCTAGTAACTTGCTAATGTTGTCGTCGAGCTCAGGCAGGGTTAAGATCGGGATTTGGTACCTAAACTTATTCTTAGCGGCGATAACCTTGTCCGCAGACTCCTCTTCCCTAGGCTTCCCATAGACTTTCTTTGGTTTCTCGGCCTCAGGCTCCGCCTGCGGTTCGGAGCTTCCGGCGACCTCCTCCATAATGGTGTCACGGTTAATCCTTCTCCCGGCCGTTCCCAGTCGAGTGGTTGCGTTCACCCTATCACGTCCGTCGCTTTCCAAAATAAATTTGGCCTGCGGCCCGCGCCCCCGGAGCTGATCCCAGATGATCTCGCCCACCAGTTCGACTTCTACGGCTGTTATTTCTAGACCGTTGAGCATGATAATGGCTCGCCGCATCCCTCCTAGCGAGCTCTTGTTCACCCGTTCCCCTTGTGGTCCAAATATCTCCCCTTTAATGACCTGGTACACCTTCTTTTCAGAATATCATGGTTGAGCTTTGGGCATGCGTGCACATAATGTCCTATCGCGGTGCAGTACTTGAATTGCTCGTTAGCAGGATCTCTCCGTCCGAATCCCCGGTTTGCTACACCTGGCGGGACCACAGCTTCCTGGGGAGGGAGGGCAGATTGGGATACTTGCGCTTGCATAACCATTAGCGCGCCTTTCATCCTTTCAATCTTATTGTCGACCCCGTGCACCCGTTCATGTAGACTTTCAATCCCCTTTTCTACCTTGTCGTCCGTCCTACCGGCCAAATCTATGATCTCTCCTTCCTTGAGCAAGGCCAACGTCTCTGTTACTACCGTTTTCTCAGCCAGATCCGTTACCGTGTTAAAATCAACATCCCGCGTGTTTACGAACTTGCTCGTCTGTTGGTAGGCTAACAGGATCTTGTCTTTGTCGAACTCGAAGAACTGCCTGAGGAAATATTTGCTCATTATCCAGTCCGTGACCCCGGGGATCCTTAGTGCTACCAGAGTAAATTCCCGTAGGAAATCATTGTATGTTGCGAAGTTTTTCCTCTGAACTGCCGCTAGGTCGGCCTCCGTTGCCATTTTCTCTGCCGCTAGGTACTTCCTCATCATCACATCCAGGGTCTCCTTCCAAGACTGGCTTGCGGCTACAATGGCCATTATGTCCCGTCCCAGGCTTAACGACACATGTTGTCCTAGAAGGTCCATCTTTTCCTCCTCGGTCCACTTTAGTAACGCAGCTAGGTTCTCGTAGTCGATCAGGAACTCCGTGATGTTTGCTCCATCGAAAGTCAGCTTTTTCTTGGCGTCTGTCAGATAGCCTTGATTTTTGTTAAGTGCTCTCGCGAGGGACGACACTATCTTCTTAAGGTCGCCCTCGGAGCTGTTGGCCTCGCCTGCCACACTGTTATCCGGACATTCCTTACCGGCCTTCTGTCCCTCCCTTGTTTTCATAGTTCCTTCCGGGTCAAACCATCCCAACACTCTTTCCCTAAGGCTCCAAAGTCCCTCGCATCCTCGCGCTACTGCTGGCGTGATCGGCAGGCGGCTAGCCCTACTGTCCATGGTCGGCGGAGTCGTAGCCTTTTCTGCTTCCATCCCCGGAGAGTTCTCTCTCTCTCTCCTTCTCTTGCTCGACGTTCCCCCACGATCACTACCTTTATCCCCTTGTGCAGTCCCACCTTGGCTGGCTTTCCGTTCGTCCCGGGGTTCCTCCTGCAGAGGACCTTCTTCCTTCCCATTCATCATTTCCTCAATCAGTCTTGCCTTGTATTTCGCGGTCCTCTTGTCTATCTCGGCTAGTTTGCGCCTTGTGTCCGTGACCCTTACTTTCTTAGGCATGACTCCTTCCGAGTTTCGGGGGCCTGTCCTATCCTTATTTCTGCCTTCCTTGGTCCCCTGGGTCCCTTGCCTTCTTCCCCCGGCTTTCCCCGAGCTTTCTCCTGTGGAGATTTCCTTCCGGTTCCCTTTGGTATCATCCGGATTTATCGATTCTCTGTCCTTTTGCCCCCCTTCGCTTTGCGCGACACTGCCTTTTAAGTCTGATTCTCCTTCATTCTTATGGTTATCTATCCCCTCTTCCGTTGTCATTCTGCTTAGTTCTGCATAAGCCAAAGAATTCCCAGGACACACGCAATGCGAGGTTTTTAGGTTTCCTAGGTTCCCAGCTCTGTTGGCTTATCTTTATAGTCTCCTTTCCTATCCCCGTTTCCYGATTGCCCTTCCTTAAGGAGGAGCCACGACTGGCCCTACCGCCCAGCCGAGCTATGAACGTGACTGGGCTTCCTTTATCACAAGCTCGTTTGTAGTGCCTTTGTCCCGTCGGCCGACGCGAGGGAGTCCGGGTTAGGCATCCTCCTAGGGGAAGCCTTCCCGAGCAGCGTTTCCCGTTTTTTACCTTTCGGGTTATGGTCACTCACTAGGAGTCTACCCCCTTCTTTGTTTTTCTAGTGGGTTTTAGCCATACGGGTCCGAGGCCCCTTTCTTATTCCCATCGGCGGATTTCCGTACGCAGCGAACTATACTGGATTTGCCCTATTGGCCTGCCTGCGGATCCTAGTCCCGCTCGCGCCCTCGTGGTTCTTCCAGTTCGGTCGGCTCCTCGAATAGCTTAGCCACCCCTGCCAAATAGCTCTCTCCTATCTCGATCTCCCTTTGGATTATGCGTTCGTGCCCTGTCTGGTCTAGCCAGAGCGCACGAAATATCAGGATATGGATGACCTCCAGTAACTCGTGGGCCATGTTTCCCCAGAACGGCCCATGCCTCACGGCGACATCATAGAACATCCCGATGGTTAGAGAGGAAAAGTGGTCTGCCCACATTATTGCCGAGTCTGCCAGTTCCCGCTCCCTTGCGAGGCTCCCGAAGATGAGATCTATCATAAAACGGGGGACCCGGCACCTCAACGGTGTGGTTGGTGCCCTGAACTCCCTCCAACCTCCCATCTCCACCCGGGTTAGCAAGCCCACGTTCCGTCTTCCTCTGACCGAATGTCTTATCCGGGTCAACGTCCGGGCGACCCTTTGAAAGACCGGTGCCATCTCGTGACCTTATGCTATCTCTACCCCCAACGAATGTCAGCCGATCTCAGGCAGATACATGGTCCCAGTAACCTCCGGATTGGAGAACAGATCGTCTCCAGGTCCTCGGTCGAGTCTCATTCTTGTCCACCGACATTCTACCAACATGAAGGCGGCGTCCCTTCCCAAAGTCACGACCCGCCATTCTACGTCGAACCCTCGATAGGTAGAACTCGACGGGAGGGATACTTCCCATCGTCCACCGTTGTTCCAGGGCGGTCCGGGGTACCGGGGCTGGCGTTCCACTCGCACACGGGGCTGGCGTTTCACTCGCTCACGTCTTGCTGCCATTGTTACCTGGGTGATTTCCTGCATAGTCCACATAGAAAGGGTTACAACCAATCTTCCGAATCCGCCCACCTACTGTCTCCCTTGCCCTTCGTGTTTTCATTTCTCTTTTCCAGTCCCAACTATCCCTCTATACCCCCGGGAGCAGTAGCCTTCTCTTGCTGTTCGTACAGTCGGTAGAGATCATTTATGTAGGTCGCGCCCCGACCTACCTCTCGCCGCATGACTCTCCGCATCGTCTCATCACTTATTTGTGGAACTCCTGGCCTAGCATTTACTGCTGCTCTTAGAATACAAAGCACCTCGCGCCCTTGTTCGTCCCCGAAAGGCCCCATCTCTAGAAAGGCCCAATCATATTCTCGATACATTAATGCTTCGTCAAAATTTAGCCTAGTTACGGCAGTCACCGCCTGCTCCACTCGTTCTATGCCTCCCACTTGTCTTAGCAGGAAGGGAGGTAGACTCATCCGTACGACCTCATTTGGCAGCTCGAAAACCCCTGCCGCGACGATTTTTACCTCCGCCGTTACGTCATCTTGTTCCGGGTCTGCAAACTCAAACCCCTCCCGCCAGGTTACTTGCCATGCCCCTTCGAACATTCGCACGGGGTCATCCCCGGAAGCCAAAGCAATCCCAAAGGTCCGCCATCCCTCTTCCGACAGGTGTAAGGACCCCGTCGCATGTACACGCTCTGGGCGGTTCAAGTCTACGCCCCCGAACTCCCCTCTCGCCCGCCATTCCAGCTTCATTACTAGGTACACCGTATCTTCCACCAACTCTACCCCCACCCAGTCCATTACCGGATTGCCTACCGTATTTCTTGCCGGCAGGCTTATTTCGACCCTGCCCTCTGATATTTTTGGTGGCAGGATCCCACGAGGTCTATCCGCCCAGAACGTCCTTCGCCGGGTCATCTCGCAATGTCTCCTTTCCTGCTTTCTTAGTCTGATCGCTGCACCCACCGAGATTCCATGCCTTTCGTGTTTTAGTCTTTCGACTCTCTCTACTTATCGTACACTGGTTTCTGCCGCTATCCCCATCTCATACACGTTCAATTCTACCCGACCCCCATTTTCCAGTTGCTGTCACTTCCACCTTGTTTCGATCCTTATGCACCATCTACGGCCTAATGTACACATTCCATTTCTTATGTTAAACCTTACTTCACAAGCACCCTCCATACTCAGCCATTTTCGTTGTGTCTGATTCCTTGACCTCATTCAGTCGAACCACAGTACCTCAAATAGTTTAAAGACGTCGTCTACGTAGGAGGGTGCAGCCGCCGCCTCCCGGCTAACTATGGCGTCCCAAGACTCCGCCTCTACCTCTAGGCGGTCATACCTGCCTATTCTTAGGACGATGATGACTTCCTTGACTTTATCTCCGTAGAAGGGTCCATATTTCAATGAGAGCCTATAGAACTCCTCAGTCAACCAGACACACTCTATATGCACTCTTATCATGGAGTCGGCTACTTCTAAAATGTGCTCAAACCCCCCAAACCACTCGGCTATGAATTTCGGTACCCAAGCCGTTATCCGTAGACTTGGAGGTTTGAGTTTCTTCCATCCTCCCATTACAACTCTGCTACTAACTTCGTCCCATCCTTCGTTGGCGAACAACTTGCCTTCCTTTCGGGTTCGGGCCTCTGCATTCCCTAGAAGTCACATCGGGTCCTGTTCCATTGCTAACATGGTGCAAAACAGGTGTCATCCATCCTCGGAAAGGACAATCGTTCCAACTGACTCTACCTTGCCTTCTGCTATATCATCCCAACCTTCCTCTTCCCTTATCGGGTTCCAAATCCCCTCTATCCATACATATGACAAGTCCCGGGTAACCTCAAACCCAATCCAGTCGCACGTGGTGCCTCTCCATCCGTTCCCCGTTGGTATAGGCATTTCTATTCCTCCTCTGAGTCGCCGTGGTTCCCAGCCTTTGAAGGGGTATTCCATCATCCTTTCTGCTCTAGTCATCTTTCCCTTTCCTGCACAATACCAGGCCACCCGTCCTCCCTAAGTTAAGTCACCCTACCCCTCTTAGAAGTCTCAGTCCTCTATCTCTTCATCTTCATCTTCGTCACTAAGGTCGCCCTCTTCGTCGTACATCAACCCCCTTACCCCATCTAGGAACGTCCCCCCTACTGCCACATTCCTGTAGACTATCCCCCAATGCACAGCGCTAGGAACAAAGACATTGTCTATGCTAAGACAGTTTAGTATCTCGGTCAGCTCTTCCGCCCAGTTCCCCTCAAACGGTCCCATCTCTACTGCTAACCGAGAAAAATCCCGCCTAGCGCATTGGTATAGCTCGAGGTTCATCATGGACTGACATATTCGCACTAGACTGCTCTGGGTTCCGAAAACCGCATCCACTAGAAATGAGGGCACCACACATCGCATGGTTTTTACGGGTCGCCTCATGCTTCCTCTATCCCCAAGTTTCACCCGTACGTCTACCTTTTCTATTTTCATTTCCCGCCGCTGACATGCATCCCACACAACCTCTGCTTCTGCCTTCCTAAACAACTCGTCCGGCGTATTCCCGAGTGCCAACTCTATGATCATAACTTTCTCCCCATCTTGTGACAAGTAGACCCACCCCCGGGCTTCCACTGTCCCTCGGAATTCAAAATCCATTAAACTTTGCGACAACCTCGTCAAGCTGACATTAGTCCATATTGTTTCTATCCAAAGGCATTTTGGTCGGGGAAGGCAACCATCGCGCCATCTTGTTTTCAGCACCCGACCCTTGTTTTCATAAAAAGGCACCAACCGATCATTTTGGTCAGGTTAACCCTTGTCCTAGATGAGGATTATTTCAGACCCCTCATCAAGGTCTCCCTATTTTACCTCCCCATTCCTAAGTACCTCCCTCCCATAATTCCCTCGGTCGGTCATCCATTTGCCCACATTCTTTCTCTTGGTTCCATTCCAATTGACCTCTATCCTCTTTCCTTCCGATCATCTCTCGCTCGTTCGGACTTAGATGGGGGGGGGAATAGACCTAGAAGAGTGTCCGTCCAACAGTCCAATCTCAATCAATTTTTACAGAGGGGGAACACATAAAAGAAAATCAGGCAGCCTCACATACGGGCCGGTCATCTCCTCACCGGCTATCCCAATATGGTCTCTCCGCTGGTACTATCGGTAGGGTTTTATCCCATACCTCAAGCACAGCTCAACCGTCGCGAGCGCGGTACCCAGGTCTCAGCAAGGCATTCGCCATTTCCTCCTTACCCAGAATACCCCATCCCGACTTGCCGCTCGTGTACCCACCGTTACTCTCGGGAATCACCCCGCACATCTAGGTAGGGCCATTGGAGACAGTCGTCAAGGCATTTACTTCCATCGGTCCGATAAGGAACAGTTTTTCCCAAGCCATGCTACGAGAAGCTCTCAATCACCTCCGAGGCTCCTTCCTTGCCCCATATGCAGTGGTCCCCCTGTCGTCTGCCACCAAGCAGCCGCCCTGCCTGAAGAGGTTTCACATCCCACCTGGGCAAGATCATCGAACCATGCTCGGACCGCTCCGGTGAGAATGCTACTAATCAGTCGACGAGACCAACCCTTGCCTGACAGTCCGGTGGCCCGACCCCCCCACACGGAACCCAGTGAACTTTAAAGAGGACGACCAGCTCGCATCCCGCACCGGCCGATGCAAACCAATCCTTTCCTTCCAAATGGCAGGACGCTCGAAATCCCAATCATGCAATCACAAGTCCCAAAGTGGGACACACATAGTACAAGTGCCTTTCCCTTGGTGCACCAAGCGCTTCCTACCCATAACTCACAGATTTTCTCTCAGGACAATGAGTGTCACTCCCCCTACTTTCATACATAGTGGTTCGTTCCTTCTCGTGAGAATCTTCAAGGGTGAGCTAGTTTTCCTTGGAGTCTAGCAACTCCCTTCATTTCCTTCTCTTCACTTGTCTGTCCTTTCATAGGATAAGATTGTTCGTTCTTGATGACCCGTTGTGTTCATATTGGTTCCTTCAATCATTAAAAAGGTGCAAAGTGCATGAGCCCACTGGGCTCAAAAGAAGAAGGGGAAAACACCCATTCGGTCGGATCACTCTGCCATGGGATTTTCATTGGAACCTGGCCTAAGCCAAGCACCAATCGCCTGCCAGGTAATCAGAGCCCTTCTTTTATACGAAGAGGAAGGGTCGACCTGCGACTTGCCCAAGGCTTCCCCGGACTGGCGAACACCAGCACTGGACGAAGGAGGGCTAGAGTCATTCCTCAAAGGAATGGCTGATCAAGTGCATAGCATGCATGTTATACCTCCAGGCCTGACCATGCCATGCGCCCAGCCACCCTCAAATCTGATTTCTCACAAGGGAAAGAACAAACACAAGTTCATTTTTCTTATCTTGGGTTGTGTACACGTCAATGCGTGGGGCGCACCCATCGGAATCGCAAGGGTCAATTTAACCCCATACTCGGCACCACCACCATTTTTGTCGGGCCAAACCCCGGTAGACTTTCGAGCCTTAGTCAACCCCACTGCGGGTCCCAGTTGGCTCGGCCCGCCCACACTCATGCTCAGAGCGCGGGTCATTCGTCCCAAGGTCACCCCCACCTAGTGCTTTGAGATGGATTGGGGTGGGCTATCTCGCAAGAGAGCTTTGACGTTGGGGATGTAGCTCAACCCTCACGCCGGGTGGTAGTCTCGCTGGTCGTTCCGCAACGCTGATTTTTTTTTTGATTCTTTATTGTGTTCTCAAGCAATTGCTCCTTCCAATACGCAGGCAGTCCAGGGATTCTTTGAGCGTTTCTCTTCTCTTGTGCGTAGGTTAAGCGTTATCCTTAGGCCACGCCCCATTTCCCTAAGCATTTTGGCTATATGGCGTCATCGGGGTGCGGCGGGGCCGTCCTTCCCCTCGCCTCTACGCATCCATCGGATCTCACAATTTGTTTCCCACCTTATTGAAGTAGGCCCCTTAGTCTTTTCGGGGTCCTCATATGCATGCACACACAACATCACATTTTCCTTGGTACAATTGCACTCTCAATCACACTTCCAAGTCTCAAGTGCAAAAATCATTTTCATGAATTGGCTCTATGTCAAAGGTCCCATAGCCCCTTTGTCCCTCTTCCCTTTTCCTCTTGGTGCCCAGTTCCTCTCGCCCTTATCCCGCTCAAGGCATTTCTAGCCATTACTTACCTGCACAATCCCACACAAGCAAGAAGTTTCATACAATGTCCCCCGTTGGGAGTCAACACATAGCTCTTCCCACATGCCTATTCATTCCATGCTCTTCGGCTGTGCTTTGTTCCCTTCTCATTGTTCAATCAGCCCATCCTCTTCTCATAGTCATGCACTTGGGGGAATGGTTGAGTCAAACTGACCTCTCTCTCAACTTATGCTTCCTTCCGGATCCCGTCTTTCTCCCACTTTTTCAAATGTCCTTTCTCTTTTGCCTCCTTGGTGGCATAAGGGACCGACTATCCTCCCTTTGCCCTCTTTCTCCACCAAGTGAAACGTGCTGGTGTTTTTTAACTGTAGGAATACTACTGGGAAGTTGGTGGGCTTATCATGAGCGATTTCGTTTACCGTCCGTACCCTGACAATGTTTCCAAGTGAGGGGAGAAGAGGTTAGTCATATGCCAAGTGAGCGGGAGGGAGAGAGAAGGC